GGAAAAGGGGGGGGGGGGGTACTCGTGTTTTGCACGCCTTAGCGGTTAGATCATCGTCCACGCGTCCTCGAGAGGGCGGCGCATCTTTCCCACAGGACCGATCACCGATGGCCAATCGTTCCTTCCTGAGGGGTGGGTAGGGGGTGGGGTACGGCGATGCATTGCTTACCTCTCTGCCCAGGTGAGGACGTCGCGCACGGCATCCGTCTGCAAGACCGCGGCCGCCGCTTCCGCGAGGCAGGCACCGGTAGTGTTCCGGAGCAGAATGTCGGAAACCTTCCTCAGCTGAGAAGGAGCAACAGAAACCAGTAAGAGGGTTGTTTCGGCAGGGGGGGGGGGACGAAAAGCGGGGAATAAAAATACATGTCAAGTATATGAACAGGGAGGGGCAGAAATGAAAAAAAAAAAAATGGAAATCGAACCAGACACATGACGTGGGTGTGGTAGCGGCGCGCCTCCGCAGCACCACCTGCTTACGAAGTGGAGCTACGAAAATGATACAGCTGCTATCCTCTCTTTTCTGTCTTCGAAAACCCTCCGCAAGCTCACAGGCTCCTCAGACACCTCTCGCTAAAAATACTCGCATGCCCCAAGCAGCCCGTTTGACGCTGACGTCAACATACGACGCTACAGCACACACTCACAAACGACGCCTGCTCCCGCTTGTAACCCCCCTCCTCCTCCAGCCCCCGGGGGAGGTTCTCCGCGTCCGCGAGGCCCCCCGCCGTCCCCTCTCTCGCCAACGCCGACTCCGCCTCGAAACCCCGAAACCAGGCCGCCGCTGCAGCCGCCGTCCCCCCGCCTCCGGCGGCGGCAGCGGCGGCGACGACAACCCTGCCCCCGGTCTCGGCAACCAAGGCCTCCTCAAACGCCGCCGGAACTCCAGCGGCGAGGCCCCGCAGCCTGGCCACGCGCCTGTCACAGCTACTGCCGCCGCCGCCGCCGCCACCCGTTATGGGGGACCCCTGACCCTGCCGTGGCGATGATGTTCCCGCCACCGCCACGGACATGCTGATGCCGCCCCTTCTATCACCGCGGGGAATGAGACATGTCGTGCGCCCGGCCCGTACCACAAAGGGAGTCACTTTTTTTTCGGGGGGGGGGGGGGGGGG